AACCTTTTTTTTTTCACAAGTTTCATTGCAGCATTGCACTATTAAGATTTCTGATCATTTATAATGGGAAATGTCATTTGTCTTGAAACAAGAGGTAAAATGTTCAAACATTAATGAAATAAAAAATTGTAGACTAAGGTCGAGATACAGATTCAAGTAATTATTTATGGGTAAGATGAGGTTTTTAGATTTACTAGTGCAATAGAATCTCCTAGTCGTTGAGTGGTCCTTAGTTTCAAAACCTCTGGCCAAGCACAAGTACCATTTGTAGATTATAATAGTCCGACTTCCAAATTACTCGTTATAATTTCATCAGTAAATCCATGTACAGTTTGAGATTTATCTATGGTGCACTAGAAGGTCCTTATTCTCAATGTCTGGCCAAGCACAAATACTGTTTGTAGACTTTCAAATTACTTCTTTACATTTAATTAGTAAATCCATGGAGAGTGGAGTTTCGGATTTAGCTATGGGTAGATTCTTGTTAAAGTTTTATTATCCAAGTTATCCTTCTGAGATGTTTCATACTTTTTTCCGAGCTACTAACCACTACTTGTGTCAAGTTCAGTTCCCACTCGAATAAACTTCCTCATGACTGCTACAGTTTAGGTCCTTGTTGAATTTTTTGTTTCAGTAGGCTTCATTACGGCCTTTTGGTGATGGATTCATTACCACAATATTTTAGTTGCAATCTTTGTAATGGATTAATTACAGTTGTTAGCTATGAAGTTTTTGGAGCGAGAGGAACTTGCAAATTAAAATTTTCAGAATTAAATTTTGAGACGTTTTGTGTTGTGTATGTTACGTGTATGTGTGTGTGTGTTTTGCATGAGTTGTATGTTTATGTTTGTGTGCAGTGTGTGTTGTGTATATTACGTGTGTGTGTAGTGTGTTGTTTGTGTGCCGTGTGTGTTATATGTGTGTAGTGTATGTTATGAGTTATGTATGTTGTGTTGTGTGTGTGTTGTGTATATTATGTGTGTGTTTTGTATGTTATGAGTTGTGTGTATATATGCATGTGTTAAAAGTTGTGTGTATAGTGTGTGTTATTATTAGTTATGTGTTGTGTATGTTGTGTGTGTAGTGTGTGTTGTTATTAGTTGTGTTGTTTATGTTATGTGTGTGTGTTGTGTGTGTTATATGTGTGTGTATTGTGTGTGTGTTGTTATGTTTATATGTTTAGTGTGTGTTGTTATGAGTGTTGTGTAGTGTGTGTTATGTATAGTGTGTGTGTGTGTGTTCTATTTAGTATGTGATGTGTGTGTGTGTATGTGTTTATGTGTTGTGTGTTTGTGGTGTGTGTTTTGTATTTATGTGTGTGTATGTTTTTGTGTGTTATATGTTTATGTATGTTGTATATCATGTGTTGTGTGTGTGAAGTGTGTGTTTGTATTGTCTATGTGTGTTATGAGTTGTGTGTCATATGTGTTTGTATTATGTGTTGTGTGTATGTTATGTGTATTGTATTATGTGTGTTGTGTTGTGTGTGTGTGTTTTGTGTTATGTGTTGTGTATGTGTGTGTTGTATTGTGTTTGTTTCGTCTTCTATATTGTGCGTGTGTGCTGTGTGGTGTGTGCGTTTTGTTTATTTTGTATGTTGTGCTTGTGTGTGTTGTCTATGTTGTGTGTGTGTTATGTATATGTGTGTTTATTCTAAGTGAGTGTATTGTGTGTGTTTGTCGTGTGATATGTGTGTTTGTTTGTTTTGTAAGTTGTGTGTGTATATTTGTACCATTTATGTGTGTGTATGTTTATTTTTTGTATGTGCGTATTTGTTTTATGTGATATGTGTGTGTGTATGCATGTGTGTGTGTTGTGTGTATGTAGTGTGCATTGTTATGAGTCGTGTGTGTATACGTGTATTGTGTATGTTATGTGTGTGTTGTGTGTAGTATGTGTTTTTATCAGTTGTGTGTATATGTACGTGTGTTATGTATGTTATCAGATGTGTATGTATTTGTGTGTGTATGTTGTGTATGTTGTGTGTGTGTGTGTTGTGTATGTATGTGTGTTGTGTATGTCATATATTGTGTGTGTAGTGTGTGTATATTGTGTATGTTATGTGTGTGTTGTGTTTTGTGTGTGTATGTTGTGTCTTTTGAAGTGTTGTGCTTTTTTTGTGTTTTGTGTTGTTTGTGTTGTGTTTTGTTTTATTGTGTATGTTATGTGTATAGTTTGTATTGTTTTAAGTTCTGTGTGTATGTGTGTGTGTTGTGTGTAGTATGTGTTGTTATGAGTTGTGTGTGTGTGTATCTTTTGTGTTGTGTGTTGTTTTTATGTTTGTTGGTTTTTGTGTATGTTATGTGTGTGTTTATATATTGTGTGTGTGTGTTGTTTGTGTATGTATTATGAGTTGTGTGTATTGTGTATGTTATATGTGTGTGTGTAATGTGTGTTGTTTGTGTGTGTTTTATAAGTTGTTTGAGTATGTGTGCATGTTTGTTGTGTATGTGTGTTTGTTGTGTATATTGTGTGTATGTGTATTATTATGTGTTGTGTGCTTATGCGTATGTATTGTGTATATTATGTGTGTGTAGTGTTTTCTGTTATGAGTTGTTTGTGTTATGTTTGTGTCATCTGTATATATATTATGAGTTGTGTGTACGTGTGCATGTTATGAGTTATGTGTGTATGTGTGTTTGTGTTATCAGTCGTGTGTGTGTGTGTTGTGCATTTTATGAGTTATGTGGGTATGTGTGTTTGTGTTATCAGTCGTGTGTGTGTGTTGTGCATGTTATGAGTTATATGTATATGTGTTGTGTATGTTATGCGTGTGTGTGTATTTTTATGAGTTGTATGTGTATGTGTGTGTATTGTGTATGTTATATGTGTATGAGTTGTATGTGTGTTGTGTGTATATGTTGTGTATAGTGTGTTGTTATGATATGTGTGTTTGTGTGTGTGTGTGTGTGTCTGTGTGTGTGTTTGTGTGTTGTTATAAGTTGTGTATGTATTGTATATATTATATGTGTTATGTATGTTGTGTGTGTGTGTTGTGTATAGTATGTTGTTATGAGTTGTGTGTATATGTTTATGTTGTGCATGTTATGTGTGTGTGTTGTTATAAGTTGTGTGTGTATGTGTGTGTTGTGTATGTTTTGTGTTTATGTAGTGTGTGTTATGAGTTGTGTGTATTTGTGTGTTGTTACAAGTTGTGTGTGTATGTGTTTGTATTATGTATGTTGTGTGTGTGTGTAGAATGTGTTGTATGTATGTGTATTGTGTTTGTGTTGTTTATGTTATTGTATTATTTTTGTGTGTGTCGTGTGTGTAGTATGTATGTGTATTGTGTGTATGTAGTGTATGTTATGTGTTGTGTATGCATATGTATTGTGTGTGTTATTTATGTTATTTTCGTGTGTGTTGTTTATTGTGTGTGTATGTTGTGTGTTATGTGTATGTATATTGTGTATGTGTAGTGTGTGTTATATATGTTATGTGTATTGTTTGTGTTATTTTCGTATGTGTTGTTTATTGTGTGTGTGTTGTGTGTATATATATTGTGTGTGTGTTGTGCATGTTATGTGTGTGTGTTGTGTATGTTATGTATGTGTGTATTGTTATAAGTTGTGTGTGTATGTGTTTGTATTTGTGTTGTGTATATTATTTGTGTGTGTAGTATGTGTTGTGTGTATGTGTATTGTATGTGTGTTGTTTATGTTGTATTGTTTTTGTTTGTGTAGTGTGTTGTAGTGTTGTGTGTATTATGTATTATGTGTTATATGTATATATATGTATTGTGTGTGTTGTTTGTGTTATTTTCGTGTGTTGTTTATTGTGTATGTGTATTGTGGATGTGTAATGTGTGTTCTGTGTTGTTTGTATATATGTATTGTGTGTATTGTTTGTGTTATTTTTGTGTGTGTTGTTTATTGTGTGTATATTATATGTCTGTGTTGTGTGTATATGTATGTGTATTGTGTTGTGTGTGTAGTGTTTTGTTGTGTGTATGTGTATTGTGTTGTGTGTATTTATATTGTGTGTGTGTTGTGTGTGTATGTAGTGTGTGTAGTATGTGTTGTGTGTATGTAGTGTGTGTAGTATGTGTTGTGTGTATTTATATTGTGTGTGTTGTGTGTGTATGTAGTGTGTGTAGTATGTGTTGTGTGTATGTAGTGTGTGTGTATGTAGTGTGTGTTGTGTGTATTTTGTATTGTGTATTTGTTGTTTTTATTGTTGTATTATTTTTGTATGTGTTGTGTGTGTAGTGTATTGTATCTTGTGTGTATGTGTATTGTGTGTGTAGTGTGTGTTATATATTGTATATATGTATATTGTTTGTATTTGTATTATTTTTATGTGTGTTGTGTGTATTTGTGTATTGTTTGTGTATTATGTGTATGTGTCCTAATACTATTTCAAAATCATCAAATTTCATCATCAGAACGCAGACCCATTAATGGACGGTCAGGATCGTTTTTACGGTGCACGCCATCCTTCCATTGCCCGCTGTCACGTATAAGTACTCCTATGAAGGCTTCCCCGCCTTTGGAGTGCCCTGCCGACTCGAGACCATGGTGGAGTCCCCGAGGCTGGAGCGGGAAATCCGAAGCCGAAGCCTCGCGCCCGGTGACGTTCCACGAGAGCTGGTGGCAGCGGAGGCGGGGAAGACGTGGATCCTAGATTTCCTTTACCGTCCTCACGTACAGGACGGCGAAATGGGCGGTTTTGCTCCGCAAACGCGAGACCTTTCTGCTCTTTCCTCTTGGGCTATTTTCCGGCGGAAGTTCCTCCCCAGATGGCTCTTCCGTTCCAGAAGCGGTCCATCGACGGCGGTGGCGAACAGACGGGGCTCGGAATGGGTGGTACGGTGTTCTTCTCGAGGTGTCGCCGAAAGAAGAGGAAGGGGAAAGAAAGGACAGAGGAGGGGGAGGAGAATAGAAGAGAAAAGGTGGCCTCTCCTGATTCGAAGATGACGAAGGGGATCAATGGAGGGGCTGGCGTCCGCTCGTTGGATGCGTTCGCAGGTACGTGTGGATGTCGAGTCCTCTTTGAGTTCTTATGTGTAGTTGTAGGCTAAGTGTTCGACGTTTGGTTCATGCTAGAACAAAAAGGAAGGAGTCTCAAAACTCTCTAAGAACTCACCTTTTTATGAAGCATGCCCACGAGTCTCTTCCCCGAAACTTCGTCATCATGATAGTCTCTCAAACTCCAAAGGAGAGCAAAGAAGAGAGTCACAATAGAGAATATTTACCGGATAAAAAGGAAAACTGGGGTTTGGATAGAGATGCTTGATGTTTCTTCCACCATTTCTCTCGTACGTTTCATAGGGCATCCATAAGTTTTATTTCCATGTATATTTAGTGACCGAGGTCTTTTTGCTTCACAGATATAGTCAATTATATTATGTTTTTAGCCTTTTTTTTTTCTTAATTCAAATATGGTGGAATCCTTCTGTAGGCATGGGAATTAAAGGCTACATTAGAGAAAAGAATTAGGTAAAGAAGGTGAGCCATCCACATCGAGTGAATGTCTTAGCTCCTACATTGCTGGTAGTTCTTGACTACCAGGTTCCTCCATTGCTGGTGTATGCCAATTTTTCAGCACAAGATTTGGGTTTTAATCTAAATTTTTAACTTTGCATCTTCTTCATCAAGTTTTTCCATTAAATTCCTCGTTTTTGTATTTGTTACTATTCTGTGGTCTGAGAGTTCAATGTCACATCTTTGACCTGCAGGAGCTAGGAAGCCGAAAGAGATATCTTTTGACATAGGAATGGGAGTGGGTATGGCTTTCATCCTGTTCAGGTGGGCGACTGAATTGAACAAAATGAAGGAGCAATGAATTCAAATGGAAATGCTGTTCAAATAAATTAAAGATGTAATCCCAAAGATAGGCGATGATTTTGGCATCTTAAGATCAAATCATGATATCACATCATCATCATCAGATTGTCGTGGGAATGCCAGTAAATGCAACCAGAATCAAGGGGCAAGTTTTCATATGGAAGAGGCTAAGTCTACCATTGAATCTGATGGGCATTCGAATTATGTGATTAGCACCGAGAAACGAAATATAGATCAACTGGAAGCAAAGTTAGAGTTCGAATTAGAGTAGCTGCAGCTTGAGTTGGACAGGGAGGATTCAGTAATGATCTCAGAATGAGGGCAAATAGAGGTATTCTTCTTCTCAGTAAATCTGTTCTCCTTATTGGGAATGTTGTTTTAATAACTAGCATTTGTTGAAATGGAGAAATTATTTTGCATATACCATGAAATTTAGCTTAGATCATAATATGACCCACTAACTTTTTAATGAACCTAATGAACCTGCCTCACCTTTTTTTAAAAATTTTGGAACATTCTTTTATGATTCCTATATAATAGTTTTGTTGATACCAAGTAGACTAGGTACAGTATAAATTACTGATTATAAGGCTTCTTGGGCCCCATAGTGAGTTCGATATGATAAGTCATCATTTGGGATGGTCCAGATTGTGTTTTGGGTTATATATCTCTTCGCAAGCCATTTGACTCAAAGGGAATCTTCTTGGAGGCTATCGCGCAAATGAATTGAAGTAAATATGCTTGGTTTAGGGTATAAAGATTTTGAATGCCATGTTCCTCTCCTTGTAATGGATTGTATATGTCTTGCCAAGCAACTTTGTGGAGGCCTTTAATGTCATCTCCTTGTCATAAGAAATGAGCCATTATTTGTTCTAGTCGATGAATTACCCTCCGTGCCAAGCAACTCCTAGTGTATGCTTGTGGAGCTTCAAGAATATATTGCAAATAAAGGTACATGTTGGATCTATGATTTCTCATATAATTAGAAATGAGGACACCTTTCTTTGGCTTGATCCGTGACACGCAAGAGGTATTCTAAAACTTGTTGTTGGGGACTATATTGATTATGAAATTTCCACTAACCCTTTAGCTAGAGTTTTTGAAATTTGCAAGGATGGAGTGTGGGTTGTGGCCACCCCCATTCACCAGCTTTAATCCTCGTTTGGGATGCTATTCTTGACATTATCACTTTCCCTCATTCTCGGAATGATTGTGTGGTGTGAAAGCCTTCAACTTTTGGAGTTTTTACACTTAAATCAGCTTACACAGCAATGGATGAGCCTTCAAATATGGTTGCATGAAGTAATCTTGTCAGGTTTAAGGGCAACATACCAAGGTATTCTTTCATCTCTTGGCTTGTTTGTTTAAACATGTTGAGCACTTTGGATAGATTGATAAAGTGGAGAATCTGCACCAATTCCTCTTGCTACTTATGCAGTCAAGAAGATGAAAGCATGCATCGCCTATTTTTTTGATTGCACTTTCTCATCACTGAGTGTGGGGAGCCATTTTGAGCAGATGCGACCTATCCCACTCGCCACAGGGGTGGAACATAGAATTTATACGGGTATGCAATCATTGGAAAAACGAGAGTTTCATAAGTCGAATTGAGAAACTATCTTTCACAGCTATCATATATCATATCTGGGTTTAGAGGAATCACATATTTGAGTCAAACACCTAAAGATCTCTAGATATTATTATTTCAGTCTTTGTGCAAGATGTGAGTAGGAGAATGCAAAACGAATCCACGATTGTAGTAGACATCGCATCAACTCAAGCCATTGTCGCAAATTGGAATCCATGCCCAAACTTCGCAACACTTAAGTCTACGTGGCACCACTAGACCCCTCCCATTGAGGGTATTATTGTCATATATACTGATGCCTCTGTCTCTACTTCCATAGTTGGGTTGGGATGTGTTTTTTGAGACTATTTTGGAAGCCCCATTTGTGCTATGACGAAAAGCAGATCAAAGGAAGATCTCATTCTACTACATGAATTATAAGCTATCCTCCTTGTCCTTTTGAAGCTAAAAGAAGAAAATTTCGCTTGATCCATCTTTGGTTTGATTCACAAGTCGTTGTGGATATTCTCAACAGTTGTAATAATGTGTCAGGGTGTTACCAAATTACTTTAAGAATATATTCATGCTATTTAAGAGAGCTTCGAGATTCTGGAATTCTTTTTCATCCTTTAAGAAGCTAAGAAGTCAGCTGACTTCCTCACCCATCTGTGTAAGTCCAAAGAGAAGATCTTGCTACCCCCCTCAGGGTTTCCGGACGAATTGTGGAGGTTGATTGAAGTTGATGTGTATAAGAGGGAATATGTTAGACTAGTGTGATTCTCATGGGTTCTTTGTATGACTTAGTTACATCTCTATATATCTAGTAGTTATATATGATGATGATGTGTACATGTAATATGTGATGTGGACAGATGATCATAAACCGTGTGACGTATATGTACATGTGATATGATTATTATTATTATTGGGGCCTACGAGCTTTCAATTTTATTCTCGTTTATTGTTGAGCTTATGTGCTTATGATTAAGTTATAATCACATGAGGAGGCTCTACGGGAGCGTAGAGGCAATAGCGAGAACCACGAGGTCGAGATGGACCATCGCGATGCATGAAGATGCGTAGAGATGCCGATTGAACCGATGAGAACGAGATGAATGATCATAGGGCATGGAGATGCGCCACTGCATACATAAATTTTGATGTGAGTGATTAAGCCCATTGGCTCAGGCTTGATCACCTTAGGATGTGGTCCATGATCATCTGATATGATTTGTCATGTGATGTGTGATTGCTAACATACCTACTAAATATGTATATATATATTTTCATACGATGTAGATATATATTAAATATGTATGTGTATGATATGTCATAGGAGATCAAATTAAAATCCCCTCTTTCGATAAAATTAAGTCGGTAAATGTAAGATAATTAGATTGACCCATGTTGTCTTCCATCGTTATAGGTAGGAATCGATTCCCGACATAGGTTGAGTCCCTCGAGATTCACCTATATCGCGATTCACTATCTTACCTATGACCTATGACATATAGATGTCACCGGTGACCTGAGGATGTGATATGCTTGGTCGAGTCCCTCGAGGGCATATCATTGAATCGGACTCATCTTGTAATGATGATGATGGCTTAACCGAACATCATGGCTTGTCGAGTCTCTCGAGACCATGGAAGTTCGGAGGCTAAATTGGATGGGAATAACAAAGGGTTGTGATTGACAAGAGTTACCTATCTTTACGGGCTTAGCGTGATTGGTCGAGTCTCTCGAGGTTATGTTAAGACGCCGATTGAATCCCGATCCCCATTAGAGATTTGTCGGGGGTCTCCGATTCACATATCGGAGGAAGTTGTTTCAATTTATCAGAAAATATTACAGATATACTTAAATTGTGCAGGACACAAACTAACAGATCAGATTTCAAATACAAGCCAAACATTACACTGGATACTTCTTTTAGGTTCAGCAAAGAGAGAGGAATCGGCAGCTAGGGCATCATTGGCTGTATTGTCCTTGCAAGTCTTAAGTAG